TTTCCTAAGATATTGGCACAATCATGCGGGTCATAGAACTGTCGCCACTGAAAGGATCCGTCTCCTGGACCGGGAAACCCGTTTCTTACTACCTGCATACTATCGACCGAACCATAGTGAGTCTCTGCTTCAAATCTACCCCATATTCGGCGCTATAAAGTCCCCAGGTCTCACTTTGGGGACACCGGGTGGGCTCCTGATTTAAGAGTTTCTAGCGGGTAAAATGAATGCCCGCTGGTTTGTCTCGCCTTTGGGGAACCGTAAGCCAAGTTCGAAAGCGAAATGGTGGCTTTACCTGTGCCCAGTTCTGGACACCACACGTGAAGAAGAACGCCAGCAAATTGGAACAAGTTCAGAGGAGGGGGAAAAGGAGGATCAGGGGACTGGAAACCGAGCCTTAGGAGGAATGACAGAAAGAACTGGGCCAGTTTAGCCTTGAGAAAAGAAGACCGAGGGGAGATAGAAGGGCACTTTTCAAAGACTTGAAATGTAGTCCTACAGAGGAGGGGCAGGATCTGGTCTTAGAGGCCCCTTCCAACTCCCTGGTTCTGTGATTCAAACAAACAAACAAACAAACAAATACTCATGCCCTTCTGTGTTCTGTTCTTTCCTCAGCTTGAAAACTACTTCTCTAGTCTCAAGAATCCAAAACTCAGGGTAAGCAAGAACTCCGAACGGCTAAATTTGGCCTCGGGCAGGTTTGGCTGAGCGTCCGTGGTTTCTCCGGCCCACCCTTTCCTCGGCTCTTTCATGCTTTAAAGATCGGACAAGGAAACTGGGCGCCGTCAATCTGGCGAGCCATCGTTAACGCAGCACACTTTCCGATACCTTTGTATCCCGGAAGCCGTGGTGAAGGGATCATTTCCCCAAGAAGTAGGGGTAGAATTTCGGGGTTCCTGACACCCGGGGGACTTGTGGGGAGGGTTTTTTCTCGTTTTTTTCTTCTTCCCTGATCTCCCTGTTCTCCCCCCCCCCACACACAGGAAGAACAAGAGGCAGCTAGGCGGAGGCAGCAGCGGGAAAACAAAAGTAATACAACGACTCCGACGAAAGTCCAGGAGAACAAGGTGCGACTGGAACACGAGCCCCTCCGTCCTGCCCTCTTTGTTTTTCTAAAGGCCCTAGAATTGCACAAGTGCAGAGCTGGAAGGGGTTTCCGGGGGTCATCTAGTCCAACAGGCACCCCAAAGTTTAGCCTTCTCTAGCCATTCCTCGGTCCCGGTAGTATACGTCCCGAGTCTTTCCCTGGGCCTTCTTCTCCTGAGTTGTTCTCTCTCTCTTTTTTAACCTTCTAAGCTCTCCTTCCTTCCTTCTCTTTCCTCTCTCCAACTCAATTCTCTTCCTCCCTTTTGGGCTCTTTTTTAAATGCCTTGCCTCCAAAGGATTACGGTGTGGAGGAAGAGAAACCCCCCGGAGCCAACGTGGTCAAAAAGCCATCTCCGTCCAAAGCCCGCAAGAAGAAGCTGAGCCGAAGAGGGAGGAAGATGGCTGGCCGGAAGCGGGGGCGCCCCAAGAAGATGGACATCGCCGGGACCGAGCGCAAGACCAAGAAGAACCAAACCGCCCTGGAGCTTCTTCATTCTCAAACCGTGTTGCAGACGTGTTCCTCCTCTCCTCAGGGTAAGCCCTGGCCTCCTGCCGGACTTGCTGGTTTTCCTGATTTCGCCTCCGCCTCCGTGAAGCTAGTTAAACCGAAAACGCCTGGCCTTCTGCGTTTTCTCCTCGGTTCTCCTCCTTTGCTCTTCACAAAGTCCAGTTCAGAATGCTGGTTCTCCTCCATAACACCCCAAATGTCTTGCGCCCAAGCTATCTCTGTTTCCCTTCTTGAGCCTGCTTGGGGGTTAAGATCATCAGAGGAACCCTCACTGTCGGTCCCGCCACCTTCGCAGGGGTGTTTGGTGGGGACACACAAGACAGGGCCTTTTCTCGGTGACTGCTCCCAGACTCTGGAACTCCCTCCCACGGGAGGCCAGGCTGGCCTCCTCTTTGCTGTCCTTCTGCAAGCAGGCCAAGACCTTTCTCTACAGGCAAGCCTTTCCCTCTGTGCCTGGCTGCCCGAATGGGATTTTTAAATGGATGGTTGCGCCGTACTTCTTTGAATGTGTTTTTCTGCTGCTTTTAGCGGGTTATTTTGATATTTTTTTTGAACACTTGTAGATATTCTGTTTTTAGCTTTGAAATATTGTTTTGAATACTTGTAGACGTATAGTTTTTAGCTTTGAAATATTATATTTTTAATGATGGAAGCCTCCTTGGGTCCTTTTTAAGGAGAAAGGTGGGGCTAAAATATTTTATATGAATAAATAAACGACCCAGAGTTTCAAAGTGTCTTGACCTGCGCACTTAAAAACCCAGTGAGAAATCCTTCCTACTATTTATACTGGCATCGCAGCCAGTTTATCCTGTGATGTCCTTGTGGCCACCTTGTGCTTGGACATTTGGCTCTGAACAGGCCTGTGTTTCTTCTTTCCTGTCCAGATGCCTACCGGTCACCTCACAGTCCGTTCTACCAGCTACCTCCCAAAGTGCAGCGGCGTTCATCAAACCAGCTACTGGTGACCCCCACTCCACCCGCACTACAGAAGCTGCTCGGTAAGTGGTTTTACGCCACCTGTCCCTGACAAATGCCCACAGCCTCTCCAGAAGCCAAGATCTTGCAGGTCATACATCCTTGCTTATTGATGTTTTCCAGTTGAGAAGCTGCTGTTGCTTTCTTAAAAATATTTGCTGCTTATTCCCCACCCACCCCTTGAGAAGCCACCAAACCAATCTGCAGTAGCACTCCTATGTCCGTGGCAGATTTGTTCCAACGCGCCCCCCGTGGATGCTGAGAACCGCAGATACAGTGGTGTCTCACTTAACGATGTTAATTGGTTCCATTAAAAAAAATCATGTGAAAACATTGTTAAGTGAAACATCATTTCCCATAGGAATGCATTGAAAACCAGTTAATCCATTCCAATTGGAACGGATTGCCGTCCTTAACTGCAAATTGCCATAGGAAACATCGTTGAGTGAAACGCGGTTCCCCAATTGAAATGCATTGAAGCCAACTCAATGCATCTGAATGGGTTTGCAAAGTCCCTTTTCGCTCCTGTAAAAGTGTCTTAAACTGTTTGAAGCCTGTTTTAAATGCTTGCAATCGTTAGCCCACCTCCTGAAACCTATGCAAACTTAATTTGGTGTTGTCCTGAGTCTTCGTTAATTTTTGGTGAATTTTTTTATTCTCCATTGAAAGCCATTGGATGGACTGTTCAAAGTCTCTATCACCCTCCAGTGGTCAGTTCTAACAAATACATCATGAAAATACATATTTCTAGGGTTTTTTTCTTTTAATATTTTAAATATTTTCAGACCCCAGATTAGTGGACCTGTGGATATCGGTCCCACGAATACGAGGGTCCTCCTGTATGCTGCAAGGTCCTTTATTGCCATTTAGGCAAAGATATGTCTTTCTTTGCCCCCATTCTGTCTCTGTCAAACACAGGTGGGGGCTGTTTCATCCCCAGAGATTAAATTCGCCTTCAAAGATGTCCTGGAGGTTTTGTGTCCTGAGGGTGGAGGGGAGGGGGTTGAAAATGGCAGATGTTTTTAGTGTAAAGCGCTTCCTGGCAATCGCTCAAGCTAAGGGAACCCCACACACTGTCTAGGGCACGCACGACCTTGCTGTCAAGGGGAGGATGCAACGTAGGGGACCTGCTGGAAGAAACTTCCCAGCTCATAAGTATCTTTTTCTCCCTGGCTCAGAATAGTGGATGATGTATGTTTGTGTATGTCTTACTTTCACTAGCTAGAAATCAGCTCCTCACCCCTGTTGTTGCTGAAGTTGTCTAGGGGGCGAGATGCAGGGCTGATGTCTCTCTCTCATGCCAACCTTACAGACTCTTTCAAGATCCAGTACATGCAGTTTATGGCCTACATGAAGACTCCTCAGTACAAAGCAAACCTTCAGCAGTTACTGGAACAGGAAAAGGTAGACCCCTTCCTTCCTACCTTCCTCCCTCCCTCCCTTGGGCTATTCGGATTCAGACCCATAAGTGATGACTTCTTTGCTTTTCACAGCATTGTTTTGAATTCTCTGTCTCTCACACTCACACAAACACTTTTTTTTCTCCCCTAGGAGAAGAATACTCAGCTGCTGGGGAAGGCGCAACAGTTGTTTTCTCACTGTCAGGCCCAGAAAGAAGAAATCAAGCGACTCTTCCAGCAGAAACTAGATGAGGTACAAGAGAAGGCTGGGCTCTGTGTATGTGTGTGTGTGCGCGTGAGCACGTGTGTGTGTGTGTGAGAGAGAGAATCCTCAGTGGGTTGAAAGGCTAGAAGGCGACACAGACCGGTCCCCATCCTGCTGGCTTATGAGTACAGTGGAGAAAACTTTCTTCCTTCAAACTCGACTCCTAAATCTCAGAGTCCGGAAGAAACAGCAACTTGTTCCCAACTCCAGCCACTGAGGGAGTTCAAACTCACACCCTCACCCAAAGAGAGGAATCAAGCCCGATGGGATTGGCGTCCTCTGGGGCAAGTCCCCCACTGGGGAGCCCCATCCAAACCCAAAGCAACCCAGGTTGAAATCGGAAGCATCCTTCACGGGAAAAGGGCAGGCGAGAGACGGGAGGAAGATCCATCGCTTCCAGCCACTATCCCACTTAGTGGCTGGAAGCGAAGCATCTTAACTTCACCAGTCATTCAGCTGTCATTGATTATCATTATTTTTTTAGCCTCGTGTGATATTGAAAAGCAGTCCCCATGTTTTTGGTGACATTAAAGACATCACTCTTGCTCCATGTTTTCCCTTTCTGAGAAGTTTGTGTCTCCTGCTCAAGGCACTGGATCAATTTGGGTGGTGGTGGTGGTGGTGGGACTGGGCAAGCCAGACTTTTGTCTACATGTTGGAGTGCTCGACATTTCTGTGTCACACAGAACTCTGCGGCTTTGGTGGTAGCCTGGGTTTCAAGAGCAGTGGCTCTCCCATCTGGCGTTATCTTTTGGGTTGTCTGTCTTAACCCCAGTATTACACAACCCTTCTCCCATAGAGAGATCTGGATATCTCAAATGCTCGCCTCGTTTGTAACTTTTTAGTCCCTTAGCAAAGATCTGTTGTGATCCAAATCTTTGTTCCAGCGTGGAAGTGATTTTTTAAAAATGCATCAGACACACCATCTTGTTTATCCCCCAGAATAGCCATGGGGGTCTAATTTACCTTCCCCCTTCTCTTCCCCCCTAGCTGGGCGTGAAGGCCCTGACTTACAACGACCTCATCCAGGCTCAGAAAGAGATCTCGGCGCACAACCAGCGGCTGAAGGAACAGACCAAGCAGCTCGAGAAAGACAACGGCGAACTCAGGAACCAGAGCTTACAGCTGGTGGGTGATCTCAAAAGGGCGGACCAGCCGGAGGGAAAAGGGTGGCGGCATGTTAATTCTTGTTGCTGTTCCTGACCTGGTGACATTATTTTATTTCTCCAATATGTGTATATGCCACAGGGTGGATTTGGTTTAAATCGAGTTGATTTTTTAAATCATGAATTTGAAATGTAAAGACGCATTCTTGCGGGTTGTTATAGCTTCAATATTTGCAACCCGATTTGCAGCTTCATATGGTCAGCCAATTAAATGTACCCGGTTCCTTTTAACGATGTGCAGGAGTACAACTTTTTTTAAAGGAAACTAAGCTGTATATTTTCCCAGTTGATAACTCTTTCCTGACTCTCTTTTTTCCTCTCCTTTTTCCTGCTCTCTCGCCCCCGCCACTTTTTTAGCTGAAGGCCCGATGTGAAGAGCTAAAGTTGGAGTGGTCGACCCTTTCCCTGGAGAATCTGGTGAAAGAAAAGCAAGCACTGAAAAGCCAGATTTCTGAGAAACAGAAGCATTGCTTAGAATTGCAGGTAGAGAAGGGTTCAGAGTGGCTGAAGCACATCCCTGTTCTCTCTTTCTTTCTTCCCTTCCCTCCCTCCCTTTGAACTGCTTGTTTTTCCCGATGAAAACGGTGGCGTTTAATCACACCCGCGTATATTTTTTCTTAAACCTTTCTAAAGATCAGCATCGTGGAGCTTGAGAAAAGCCAACGGCAGCAGGAGCTGCTCCAGCTGAAATCCTGCATGCTGCCGGATGAATCGCCGCCGGCGCCGGCGCCCCGCCAGAAAAGCCACCTGAGCCGTGGGCCGGAGGCCGATCACGGTCTTTTCCACCTGGAGCTGGAGGGCCCCAAGTTCCCCACGCCTCAGCTCAACGGCATGAGCCCTGAGCTCTCCATGAACGGGCATGCCACCCCTTACGAGATCCACCACGCCCTCGGGCGGCCCGCCTCCAAGCAGAGCACCCCCCAGTACCCGGCTTCCCAGCTGGAGCAGGAGATCATCCCTTGCACCCCAAACCACAGCTGCAGGCAGAAGCCCGACAAAGGGTTGAGTTTATCCCTGCCGGATTATACCCGGTTTTCCCCGGCTAAAATCGCCCTGCGGAGGCATCTGAATCAGGACCATGTCGGCGGCGGGGGAGGGAAAGCGGCGCCCCATGAGAACCACCCGAGGTGAGTGGGGGTGCACAGGGTTGGGGGGGAGAAGAGCATGCTTTGCCGGCCATCAAGAGAGAAAGACGCCGGCTGTGATCCCCGTCACTGTGAGGAAAAAGGAGAGAAAGGATTGGCAAATCACTCCTGTTGATATTGATAGAAATGAAATTCCTTGTTATTGCTGTATCAAGAGGTTTGCAGGATCCTAGAATCATGGGGTTGGAAAGGGGGGGACCTCTAAGTCCCTCGGGTCCAGCCCCCTCTACTCAAGGCAGGAAACCCAAATCGAGCAGATTCGACAGAGGGTGGTCCAATTTTTGCCTTGAAAGGCCTCTAGCGCTGGAGTGCTCGCCCACTTCCTGAGTGTGTGGGTTGCATCATTGTACCATTCTAAAAGGAAGTTTTTCTATGATATTCAACCAAAATCTGGCTTCCTGTCGCTTAAGCCCATTCTGACATGTCCTGCCCTCTGGGATGGTCAAGAGCAGATCCTGCCCCTCCTCTTTTATGTATTTGAAAAGTGCGATCAGATCTTCCTTCAATCTTTTCTGGAGGCTAAACAGGCCAATTTTCAGTCTTCCCTCCTTATAGGGCTTGGTTTCCAGCCTCCTGATCCGCCTTCTTGCCCTCCTCTGGACTTACTCCAATTTGTCAGCATCCTTCTTAAAGTTTGGGTGTTACCGAGCTACGGTTACAAAAGCTGGAGCTGATATTTTTTGCCGGTGTCTTTCAAAAGGAAAAGAAAATAAGATAAAGTTTTGAAACCTTGCCGGTGGTTTCCAGCAAGGAAGGAAGGATGAGGATCGGGAAATGTGGCGCAAGCCACGCTGGGACTCATCCCAAAGAGGTGTTCCTCTCCAGAGATGAAACCCTATGTGAAAATGTGCCTGGAAGAGGCGGTGCCATCATCCTCAAGGCTTTCTGACAGCAGGGAGAACGCTGAAGGCTTGGTCCGTTTTTGTGTTACCGTACATGTGAGGAGGAGACAAAGGAAATGCCAGAGAGTGAGCCGTCCCTTCAAACACCTAGAATAGAACAGATAATAGAACAAGCAAGGGATATAGAAACAGATCAAGGGAAAAAGCAAAAGACAGAAGCACGAGCTGGAGAGGAGGAAGAATGTCGCGCGATGGAGGTAGAAGGGGCTCGAGACAGAAAAACTCACAAGAGGAAGGAATGGTTAGAGCAGTTAGAAACGGCTGAGGCAGGAGAGAAGAAGGAGTGGGGAAGCGAAACAGAAAATAACCGTGATTAAAGAAGCTATAACAGAGAAATCTCATAAAGGAGTATAGGTCTTTTCCGTTCCCTTGAAAAGAACTGCGACTAGTGAAGTTGAAGAGGGAGCATCGTTGTGTGAGGCACCACTGTATAAGTCTTTTCCGTTCCCTTGAAAAGAACCGCGACTAGTGAAGTTGAAGAGGGAAGAGGAACTTCAGCAAGAGGAAAAGTGAGACCTATAATAGCTGGCCTGAGTCCAGAAGAATGGACAGTCTTGGTGTACCCCAAGGGTTGGGGTCCCGAGCAGTTGGTACACCAAATGGATCCAGCTATGGAGAAGAGAGGGAGAATGGGCCCGCCATCCTTGTTGTGGAACACTGTGTGCGGTCCGCAACGGGATCTTGAGACCACCGACCAAGGAGGAGAAAGCGGCAAAAATATATTACTGAAAGACCTAAATAATGAAAAATCCTTGTTATAGTTTTGGGAAAGTTCTCCACCCCAGTTAACGCTACATAATTCTGTAGAGTTTAACAAAGAAACAAACAGTTGTATTAATAAAATTTATTTTATTAACAATTCCGAGTCATCGTTTGTATTGCCAGAAGAACAGCCTAAGGCTAATATCGAACCTGCTTACGGTACATTACATTCTTGTGTTTTTATTTTTCCAGAACCGAGCCATTGAAAGAGAACGGACTGATCTTTCCCAGCCCAGCCATCCCGAACGGCGTCAAGATGAGCCCACTAGAAAACCGGCCGGCTTCTCCGGCCGTCACCGAGAAAGTAAGGAAGACAACGGGTGCACTTCTTGGGGTGGGATGGCCTTGTTAGCCGACGAGCCATTGGGCCAGGTGGGAAACGTCCTGCATTTCTGAAAGACCACCCCCCCTCAAGTTTTCAAATCTTTGAGGAGATATACTCTGAAGGTGGGGCTTTTGGGGAGGGCTGTTTCTAGCTTGTGGAACTCCCTGCCCCAAGATGCTAGGTTCTGGTTGTTGTGGGTTTTTCAGGCTCTTTGGCCGTGTTCTGAAGGTTGTTCTTCCTAACGTTTCGCCAGTCTCTGTGGCCGGCATCTTCAGAGGACAGCACTCTGTGCTCTAGTGTAGTTGGCTTAGGAGTGCAGTATTTATGGCTGTGAGATAGGCTTTTGTCTTTTTCTGTAGATGGGTGAAAAGACAAAAGCCTATCTCACAGCCATAAATACTGCACTCCCAAGCCAACTACACTAGAGCACAGAGTGCTGTCCTCTGAAGATGCCGGCCACAGAGACTGGCGAAATGTTAGGAAGAACAACCTTCAGAACACGGCCAAAGAGCCTGAAAAACCCACAACAACCATTAGATCCCGGCCGTGAAAGCCTTCGCAAATACAATGCTAGGTTCTCCTTAGCCTGCTTCTCTTTCATTGATGGGCAAGAGTCTTTGGCGGTCCAAATGGGCCACTGAAGAAGGGACGGGAGGAAGCATTACCTTCTGCACTACAGGAAAAAAACTGCTTCTCCCTCCAGGTAAAGTGATGGTGTTTAATCACACACACGCACACACACAGTTTCCTTATGTTGCAGTTTAAAATTGGTTTCACTTCCGTGACCGTTTTTACGCCATAACGCTTTAACGGCGTTTCAATCCTGCAACCCTGGGTTCCCCCCACCCGCTTGCCACCCCCTTTCCTTGTGGGCTTTTAACCACGTGTGGGCTTGAAGCTGCTGAAGCCACTGGGCGAGATGCCTGCTGTAAGGTTGAGCCCATGATCTGCGCCGCCTTAAGACAGCGGCACCCCCAGCTTCAGCTCTGTGAGGGGTAAAAGTCCCCCACCCTCCGAGATCCTGGCATGAGTGCTTGTATTGTGGGAGAAAGCTGGCATGGAAAGAAGTGAATGGAAAGAAGTGAATGTACAGCTAAGCCCTTCGCCCCGTGAGCGAGGGACAAGGAACAAGGCCCCTCTTCGGACTTTGATCAGAACTTTGAATTCTCTCAGAGTGTGTGTGTGTGTGTGTTGATGCCACAGGTGCTCTTGACTTCACAACATTTATCAGGGGCTGGCGGGGCCCTCGAAGGAGGCTCGGAGCCTTGGCCACAGTCCTGGGGGTGGCGGGCGCATGGGGTTCTCTTTACAGAGGTGAAAGCCACCAATGTGGGACTCTCTGTGGGCTTCCTTTGTGTCCCCCCAGGCCTTGCGCGCGAGGACGCCCACGAATCACGGGGAGACCATCACCAGCCTTCCCATCAGCATCCCCCTCAGCACGGTCCAGCCGAATAAGCTCCCCGTCAGTATCCCACTGGCCAGTGTAGTCCTGCCTAGCCGTGTTGAGAAGGTGGTGAGTAAGGGTCTCTTATTCCCCCCCTCTCTTATTCCCCCCCCCGGTCTTTTTGAATCCCAGTGGGAGCCCAAGCAGCATTCCCACCTTTAGAAGGGGTCGGATAGGGTGGATGCACCCTCCCTACATTTTTTTAAAAAAAATCCTATATGTTGTAATCCACACATACAGAAAATGTCATTTTTGCTAATGGGATGTCTCTAAGAGGGATGCTTTGGGGACAAAACAAACCTCCAGTTCATCTGGCCCCTTCACTGTCAATTTTGTTTTAAAAAGTCACTTAAAAACCCTGCCGTTCAGGCAGGACTTCCAAAACGTTATATCTGGGGCCTCCTCTCAGTTGGCTTAACTTTTTATTTGAATAATTCCGGCGTTCTAAACGTTTTTGTAGGATCACATTTCCGTGCACTTTGAGGATACTGTATTTTCTGTATTTTACGATTTTGTTTCTGAGTGGGGGAGCTCTGTCAAACTGGTACTTTAGTTATGCTGTTGTGTGTTTTGTTGTAAGCCAGAGTGGCCCTCGGCCAGATGGGCCGTATAGAAATCAAAGTCACGCCTTCCCTGCACAAACCCACCAAAACAAAAGTGGAAGGGAACGTCCAGCAAAAATTGCTTTATTTTTTTGCACGTCCAGGAGTGGGAAGGGGGGGGCCTCTAAGGCCATCGAGTCCAACCCTCTGCTCAGGGCAGGGATCCAAATCAAAGCAGATCTGAGAAGACGGTTGTCTGGTTTTCTCTTGAAGGCTGGAGCGCTCACCGCCTCCCAAGGTCATGGGTCCCCTTGTTGTACTGCTCTAACTCTTAAGAAGTTTTTCCTGATATTTGCCCCAAATCTGGCTTCCTGTCTCTTGAGCCCATTCTGATGTGTCCGGCCCTCCGGGAGGATCGAGACCAGATCCTGCCCCTCCTCTGTAGGACCGCCTTTCAGTTTTTCTTTCCAGGAAGGCACAGTCTAACCTTTTGCATTTGCTTCTCTGTCGGCGGTCCGCTCTCTCTGCCTTGAGCGCTTCAAAGTCCAGGCTGTATTGCCCAGCATGCTCAGCTTTTCCATTTCCCTCCTTCCTCTAGAGAAGCACACCGAGCCCGGTCCACCAGAACAGAGACTCTTTCTCCACGCTTGAAAAACAGTTTGGTGCTAGTTCTCATAATGCCACTGGCAACAAGCCACTGACTTTGGCTACCTCAGGTAAGTCTCTGCCCTTCTGTCTGTTCTTCCCCTTCAATGCCCACTGGCTTGAAGATCCTCGGCACCCAGCGGGTGTGAGCATAGAGGAAGGCCGAGCCAACCGTGTTCTAAAGACGCCGGCGATGAACTCACGGATTTCCTCTCCTCTGCCTTTTAACGCAGGTTTTTCTTATGTGTCCCTCAACGGGACTCTCCCGAACAGCCCCGCCCAGCTTAGCCACGACCAGAGCGCCCTGGAGGACGTGTCCAGCTCGGGGAGCTTGTTCAATTCCTCCGGGTCCCGGAGTTCCACTCCTCAGCACCCTTTGTTGCTCGGGATGCCCTCCTCGCGAACTTCCGGGCAAAACTCGCCGGCCCCCCAGCACTCTGCCAGCCCCAGGCTGAACGGGGTCTCCCAGGGCCCGGGAGGGGTGCTCCAGTACGTGGAGGCGCAGAAGATGTTCGCCGAAGGCGCCCGAGGCGAATCCCAGCCCGACCCGGCCTTTTCCGACCCGGAAAGCGAGGGCAAGCGCAGGATCATCTTCACCATCTCCCCTGCCACAGGAACCATCAAGCATTCCCCCTCCAACAAGCACAGCCCGCTGACGGCCAGCATCCGGATGGAATGTGGCCAGAGCTACCCCCACGAGGGGAAGAAGCGTGGCCGGCGGAAGCGCTCCTCCACGGGAGCCCCGAGCGTGAACTCCGGGGTGTCCCCGAAACGCAAGTCGTTGCCCACGGTGGCCGGGCTCTTTGGGCAGCCCTCGGGATCTCCCCTGAACATCAGTTCCATGGTGAGAGTGAAGGAGCTCAGCTGGGGTCGGTTTGGGAGGCCTGGGTGACTTAAGACAGCTCAGTCACCTATGGCGAGCGAGCGTTTCTGAGGGTGACCAGGGTTTTGTTTTTTGTTTTTAATTTGAAAGGCTGACCACTCAGAATGGGCCAAAACTCTGTGCTGCAGGACCCGTTCTGGGAGCTTCCCTGGCATCTCTTAAGGGGCAGATGCCACCTGGGAGCCGACAGGGCTGTGGAAATGACACCCCCTCCTGAGAGCCAGGCGACAGCTCTCTCCGACCTCTTTCCCTTTGGTGCTTCCGCCATGTTGAAGATCAAGAATAATTCCCCTCCATTGGACGCTAAATTGGGCACCTTTAGAAGTAACTTGCGTGACTGACTAGATGTATCACCCACGAGGCCAAGAATATCACCCCTGGGCCGTTGTGACTACTTTTGTTTTCAATCCTGTTCTTTCCTTCACTTTAGAAACATGATGCACCACACCCTCATTATAAGTAACTTGTTCCAGGTAACAGCATTGTTTGCCTCTTGGAACCTCTGAGCTCTGCTTCCAGCCTCCAGATTTTATTTTATTTTATTTTTAATTTCCCATATCCTAGAACACAGATTTTGGTTGGCGTAATCTTGGATCCCAACACGCTCTTTCCTGCTAGAGTACAGAAAGACACACACACACACACATACACACGGTATCCGTGGGATCGGCCTCCACAATTACAGTCGTCTGTGATCTAAAAATATTAAAAGAAAAAAAAGTAGAAATAGGTATTTTCAGGATGTATTTATGAGAACTAGCCACTAGAGAGAGCCAGAGACCATGTTATGTATTTTTGCTGTTGAAGAATACATAGCGTGGTCTCTGGCTCCCTCTAGTGGCCAGTTGTAGTTATATATGTTAATTATTTTAAATTTACCATGCTATGTATAGTGTTTGCTATTATCCATGGTTTTCAGCAACTACTGGATAGCTTGGAACTGGCCCCCGCAGATACGGGAGCCCTACTGTAAAAGAATAGGAAACTCACAGTCCTGTAAGTGGAGGTAGACCATGACTCCGATCATCCCCAGCTGTGATGGGAGTTGTAGTCTGTCCTGATCTGAAAGGATGTAAGTTCCCTTGGTCTGTTCTCACCCCCCCATGAAACAGCCAGAACTTTCCCTCCCCCTCTCTTTCCACCTCTGTGACTCTCAACCATTTCTCTCTCTTCTTTTTTTTTTCCAGGTCAGTAACATCAACCAACCTCTAGAAATCACCGCCATTTCATCTCCCGAAAACTCCTTGAAGAATTCCCCGGTTCCGTACCAGGACAACGACCAGCCGCCGGTCTTGAAGAAGGAAAAGCCTCTCGCCCACACCAACGGCATCCATTACTCCCCACTCACGTCTGACGAGGAGCCGTGCTCGGAGGACGACCACAACAGCTCCAGGTGAGCCGAGGCGGCGGGCTGACCCCCACAGGACAAAATTAGAAGCGTTGCAGGCCCCTCGGAGGATCAGAACAAACCTGAAGAAGTGAGCAGCGATCCGTCAGCACGCACACTGAGGCGGCCTTAAAGTTGCCTCCTGTACTTTTGTGCTTAAACTGCAGCACTGCAGTCAAGCCTCTGCTCATGAGTTGAGTTTTATCCCGACAGACTCAGGTAGCTGGCTCGAGGTCAACTCAGCCTTTCGTCCTTCCGAGTTTGGTAAAATGAGTACCCAGGTCACTGGTGCATGTGTCCCCCCCCTGCATAATAAAACTGTAAGCTGCCCAGAAAGTGCTTTGAGCACCCTGGGGTGGCCTAGAAGCAACACACTTTCCTTTTGCTTTGGGTTGTTTTTCCCCCGTTCGTTTCTCAGAGAGCTAAAAGGAATTAAAACGGCCGAAGGGAAGCGCTGCCGATCGAGCCTTCTGCATGAGTGCCAGAGGGAGCCCTCTTGTTGGTTCTTCCTGTTATTACTTTTTTTTTTAATTTACAGAATTTCTTTACTTTGATGTGGCTTTCTTTCTGCAGCCCCTCGGACATGACTGAGGCGGGGAAGCTAATTGGTAGCTTCAGTAAATGAATTAAGTTCTTCTCCCTGGCTTTCTTCCATCCTAGGATTGAGAGGAAGATTGCAACAATCTCGCTGGACAGCAAATCCCCACAGAAGTCAATAGAAAACAGTAAGTTCCATCCCTGTTTGCCTCTGTGCTCAGAAAGTTGAAGGGGGAACTGGTTTGCCCGGGGGTGTCTTCTGGGGCAAGAGGTTTTTCGTTGTCCTAGGCCTTACAGCGATTGCCTTCAAATTGGGGGCAGATTAAAAAAAACATTGGCCTTCAAAAAAGTGTGGACTCCCAACTCCTGTCCTCCTTTCTGGGTGAGCAGGATGGGTGCTGTAGTTCAAAAAGCACCAGGCCGGAGGTTCCTCTGTTGCGGCTTGACTCTCTTAACTCTCGGAGCCCAACCAATGCTTACCCACCTCATCCCTACTGAGTGGAAACATTTGCACTTCTGGAGGCTTCACATTTCCAAACGGCTCTTTGTCCTTTGCCCGGGGGACTCGGACCCGGGTGCGAACTCCTCAAGGGTCTATGTAGTCCTGCCGCTCGTCAGATGTTCGTTCTTCTGGGACCGCAAGAGGAGGGAGCAGTGGGTGGAGAAAAGCCCATTCTAAATTGTTTTCTCTCTCTCTTTCTCTCTCTCTTTTTTCTGATGGCAACGGCAGGCCTCGGTTTAGCAGGGAGGAAACCAGCCAGCGAGAACATCAATGGCAGCAAGTGGAAATCTACTTTCTCTCCCATCTCGGATCTCAACCTGACCAAAACGATGGACGGCCCTCTGCCAGTCTCCGCTTCCTCCTCTCTGAGCCAAAACTCCCTGTTTGCATTCCGGCCATCGACGGAGGATGGCCTGCCCCCCGAGGCCAAAGCTCACCTCCGGAAACACGCGGCCGGCCCTGCGCTCGGCCCTGACGGGCTTGGCCTAAACCCCAGCGTTGTGAACGGATTCGCCTACAACGGCGGGCTGTCGGCCGACATCAGTTTACACAGCTTTCTCGATGGTGCTTCGCTCCCGCATAAAGCCGCTGAGGCGGCGGTCTCGTCAGCCGGGGGCTCCTCGCTGGGCTTCCTGGTGAAGCGGAACAAGGAGGCCTCGGGCGTCTCTGAAGCTAATCGCTTCTTGAGCAAGCGGCAGCTAGAGGCCCTGGGGGCCGGGAAAGGGGACGAGATGAACTGGCCGGGGCCGAAAAGCAAGGAGCCGGCTGAGCTGGGGGTCCTTCCCGACAAGGTGCTGCTGCACAACGGCCGGGTTGCCAAAGGACGCGAGCGGGACATGGAGCCCAAAAACGGGCAGAACCTCTTCATCGCCGCCACCACGTCCCCCGCCGGGAGCCTCCTCAGCGGCAAAAGCCTTGCCGGGCCTCCCTCTGGGGGGGCGCCAGTGGCGGTCTCGTCCTCCGGCCCCGCAGCTGGCCACCACCCCTTCTTGAACTCGCTGGCGGCCGCCGGCTCCCAGTTCCCTCTGGGTCCTGTGGCTGCCAACGCCTCGGTACTGCAGTCCTTGTTCAACGCCATGCCCGCTGCTGGCCTGGTCCACGTCTCCTCGGCGGCCACCCGGCAGACCAACTCGCACGCCATGGGGAGCTTCTCGCCGGGGGTGACCGGTGGAACTGTTGGAGGTAGGCTGGTGTGTGCTGGGGGGATGGNCTTCTCGGGGGCGCTAAGGGTAGATCTGCAGGGAGCCAGCCTTCTGGCCCGGGAACCCTTTGCAGGCCAAATGGGCCACCCCGAATTGTATGGATTTATTGGCTTTCTCTCGGTCCCACTTGTCTCATGGCCTCCACTGCCCAGAAGTCCTGGCTAACACCCAGGGACCCAAGGTTGGGAAGCGCTGGGCTAGGGTCGCCCGGAGGTCTCTTAGAAGCCAATCTCTTCCTCGGTGGTTTGCCCGCTCAGACCCCCCCCCTTGAAGGTTTCGTGTTTGGGGGGGATAAGACCCAGTTCCCGAGGGAATCTTCCCTTCATTCCTGCCGTCTCCTCCCGAGACGGGACCCCGAGGGGGCTGCTGGGTGGTTGGGTTTCAGCCCTGGGCATGGCGGGCGGGTTTTGGCGTCGGCTCTGGCCACTGGCTCCTCCTCGGGGGGCATCGGGGACCTGAAAGGAGGCAGGTAAGTGAGTCTCCCTTTTCTCCTCGGATGGTGTCGATATGTTTTCTTCCAAACCATGCTTGCCCATCGCTTGCTGCTGATCCCCGTGGCTGCTTATATCATGCGTCCCCGGTTGCGGCAGCTGCCATGTGCGTCCACCCACCCACCCTGGTTGTGTCGCGGCTTGCTTTTAAATGAAAAAATGTATTCCTTCCTCTCCCCCCCACCAAAAAACACAACAACCCACCACCAGTTCCTTTGGGTGTTGCTGCTGTCGCTGGGCCGAGTCCATCTGCTGAGGTTGGTTTTTCTCTCTCTCCCGTTTGCAGGTGTTTTTAACCATGTGGTGCCTTCCGCTTCCTCTCCCATGTCCTCTTCCTCCTCGTCCGCCCCCTCTCCTTCGGCGCCCTCTTTTTCCTCCTCCTCCGCCTCCTCCTCTCTCTCTTTCGGGGCCACCCTTGGCCACGGTGGGGTCCCCGGCTGTGCCGTGCTGAGCTTCAGTCCCCTGCAGGTGGCGGCTGGCTCTGCCTCCTTTCCCATACCCTCGAACCCGGCGCCTTTGGGCGAGGCCCCCCACCCCCTTG